CCACATTGTCACTCACTATCTCATGTTATTTCCATTCACGGTGTTACCCATCAATTATTCAAAAAATAGCACCTGAAAATTGACCTCCATTCCCTGCCACATATGCAAGTGATATTATTATCAAAAGAGTGACAAAATATCTTTAAAAGATTTTTGAGTCTTATCTCTAGACATAAGATTTTACACAAAAAAGGAACTTTTTTTCTTATCCATATTGGATGTGAATTCATAAAAAATAAAAAATAAAAAGCTCGAGACATAACACTATAAGAACACCCTGGTAAGCACTTTGGAGCAAATCAAAATTATGTTTCACTTAATAAACTACAAGACACAAATGTGATGTGTCTCTAGCTAGCTTGTTGGAGGTGATATGATTTAATTTTGTTGTTGTGGTGATGAGACCACATGGCCAATTATCATCACCCGTCTTTTAGAGCTTGAAAATGAATTATGTTAGCCATAAAAAAGTAGGCCTTTCCAGGAGATCATAAATTACAAGGGCACTATATGTGTAGCTAAAATTGCCACGTCTATTAGGAGGAATTGCCTTGTCTCGGAAATTTTGAGTCATTGGTTCGTTGGTTTTTCTAGATGTAGAGATAAAACAACTAACCTTATTAGTTATTATTCCATACAAGCAAATTCTAATCTTATATTACAATCTTTGATTTTTCTTTTTCTTATGTGTGTTCTTGACACATCCTGTTTTGAAGCTGCATTCGATGAACCTTCTACAAAAGGATCCACATGATATCCAAATCTTATTCTTATCTCATCTTATCTCATCCTTTATATTTCCACTCTCTCTCTCTCTCTCTCTCTCTCTCTTCTCTCTCTCTCTCTCCTCTAAGGAGAAACCTTTGTACAACTGGTGAGGTTACTCCAACGCGAGGCATCACATTGAAGATTGCACCTACCACACTACCAGCATATCAACAATATTCAGACTTTTGGCTGCAATGGGGTGGCACTGGGGGACAATTTTGGGCCGTGTCCCATTTTGTCTCAGCAGTGAACACAAGCTGTTGAGTTTTTTGTGGGGTCAGGCAAAAACTTTTCTTGTTTTTAAATTTTTATTGGAGAGAAAGCTATTACCGATAGATATTGTCGTTACTAACTATTAGATTCATTTTTCAACGATCTGATTTGTGCATGTCAACGTTAAAAATTTACCACGTGAGATACAGAATTACTCTTACTATAAATCAAATCGTTAAAAAAAATAATCCCATTAAAACACAACTCCACGGGTAGACCAAGATATTCTTCTTTACCATATATGCTTTCTTTATTTTTCGGTACCAAAAGTTGGTCTAAGACTCTTATTTGAATTTTCGTCTGCCGGTTGAGTGTATTAACTAGTAAAAGATATAATACCTGGAGGGTTATTTCTATGATCCATGATATTCTTAGTCATTTTGACTCATCTAAATTTGTATCAACAATTAATTCAAAACTATGATCATCTGGATTATGCTCATCTTTTTTAAAATTAACAAGGTTGATTATCAGGCATTTAGGGTGTTGAATTAGTACCTAATATGGAAAAATACAGAGTTTACCATTCTATAGTTAAGCAAGCGCACATTATGTTATTGTTTTTTCACGGCGTTTAGATCGATCTACTTTACCAAAACTCAGAGCATCCAAACTGGAACTATCAACTTATCAAAGTATAATACTACTGTTAACACATCTCTTAAAAGATTAAACTTTTAGAATGGATTAGGATCGATCTACTTTACCAAAACTCAGAGCATCCAAACTGGAACTATCAACCTATCAAAGTATAATACTACTGTTAACACATCTCTTAAAAGATTAAACTTTTAGAATGGATTAATAAATTAACATGTCACTCTAAGAGGTGATCAATGGTCTTGTGTTTGAATCCTATTAAAACTTCGTAACTCATCACGTATGGGCTTATTATTTCCTTTGATAAGCTATGGCTCGGGCTGGCCAGTTTGTTTGATCAAGGGCCACACTTAAAAGAGAAAGTATTAAGAGTATAATACCATTATTTGTACTCTTGTACGCTTCTTAATAACCTAAGCTTTTGAGATAAACGACAAACTAACGAAACCTACCCTTCTTATTATTAACAATGTTGAAAATCAGACATATTCAAGATCGACTTAAAAACAAGATTGCGACAGATAGAGTTTATCATTCCATATTACATCAACTTTTGAGTTCAGGGGAGTACTTCAGGGCATTCCATAGTACGACGTTTAAATGATGAATGAAATTGAATCATTCATGAGTTAATCACATTGTATACAGTGAACTCTCTCTTTGTATTCCCTAATTTTCTTTTTTTTTTTTCTACATATGGAAAAATCTTTGTTATTTCTATAGAGCTAGCAAAAGATACCGAAAACATAGACGAATAGATCACAGATGGGACTAATGGGAAAACTATGGCCATGAAAGGTAACTTTTAGAACTCATGGTGCAAAACAAAAGAAAGCAACTAAACATATCTCTTTGTAATACATGTACATATCCATCCAAGATTTTATACGTGAATAATATATAGACCTATATATATAATGAGATGAAGACACTAGCTGCAATTGCAAGCCCCCCCTTATAGTGTGGCGACAAGAGTGTCAAGGCAATGTTAATCTGATCCTAACACTTCGCCTAACGGGCCACTTTTGTGTGGACGACATCCTCCAATGGAGTCTGCATTTTGCCTCATGTGGGCCCTAAATCATGAACTTCCAATGTTGGCCATATGATAGTCGTTTAGTAGCATTAATGATTTATAAAAGCTTTCGTAAGTTTTTATATATTATCTCCGATCATTACGAAAGTTTCATCTTGGAATGGAATGGATTGGATTAATTAGTTTGATTTGGCCCGTATTGATTATATTAACTATTTTTGTAATTATTTTTAGGTTGAACAAACTTGAAAAAATTTTACACTTAAAAATAACATGGTATGATTTATCATATAGACATACGATAGTCAGCGCATTGAATGAGCAAATCTTTCCGTGACACTCAAGTATATAAATATATTTATATATATTTGTCAAACTGGTCCATAATCTATATCCGAATTTGTGGGTGATGGCCTAATAATATGACCAAAATTTTGTCACATTTTTCTTTCTTGCCCAATTGTTTCGAGAGAGAGATGATGGGGTAATAGTAGTGGGTGCAGAGGAATCGTCCGTCAAGGTCTTTTGAGAGTGTTGTGACAGCAGATTTGATTAGAAATCTAGTTGAAAACGATGACACTGAGATTTGAGTTTGAGTCTTTCTTTGAGACTACTTGTAGTTATAATGGTGAAAAGGGCAGATAGAAAGGGGACCATTTTAAGTTTTCTCACATTTTGATCATCAATGCAGAAAAAATTGACCATGCACATAAGGCCTAAATGCAACTATCATGATCAATCCCCACCCTCAATAGGCTTCAAAATCTCTCTAGATTCCAATACATTAAATGTGGGTACACATATCTAGCTTGCGGATATATTTAGTGAAGACCACTACTATTTATTCCAAATTTTGTTATGAATTGAAACTTGTAATCCACATTATAAATTTTGTCAAGCTAATTAGGATGTTCTAATAAATTTTGTGGTACCTTGTATTTATTTTTTTACATCGATCGCGGGACTTATTAGCATTTTTCCGAGAAAGTAGGGTTAGAGGATAATCTCGTCATCTATGCACGTGTGGTGTGCAACACCACACGTCCATATGGATACAGCCACTGCCCCGACAACAATGAATGGGGACTCTATTTTGATGGGCCAAACTCATTGACTGCCCCAGTGTGTGTAAAGAAGAAAAGGAAAAAAGAAGAGAAAGTTGTTAAACACTTGATATAATATATATGTGCGTCTGTTCTTTTAAGCTTTAAAACTCAATAATTTTTTGTGGGACTTGGGATTATTTAGTACTTGTTTAGAGATTCTAAAATTTTTGTTTTTGAGTTTTTTTTAGAACTCATGCACGATAAAGACTGACCCTAGATCACAGAGAAGGGGGGGGAAAAAAAAAAAAGAAGTTTTTGTTGTTATTGTGATACATGGTGAGCCACTCATTTATGTGTTTAAGTAGCGAGTACTTTAGTTAACAACAGTTGTATATATGTTCTGGCAGATTCGATGTTATAATCTTTATCTCTCTCATTTGGATTTTCCAAGCTGATTTTTTCCTTAAAAACGTGGCTGCAAAAAATCAAAGTTTTCTTTAATTTTGTTTTACATATTTTGTAGCTAGCTCGAACCCTTAACTAAGTTGGGATATATATATATATATATATATATTACCAATTACTTTTTGCGTTCTAACTCTGCTAAAGATATCCAATATCCAATATTATAACTACATGAAAACGAAGCTCCACCAAGGAGGAGGCAGCCAAATATTACTGGGCCATGGTAAATCTAAGCAAGTAATAGATTGCCTTGGATAAGAATTAGCTTTTTCTTATATTTTAAGAGTGACTTATAAGCTTATAAAAGGAAGGTGTACTACGTGGGATATTTTGTTATCTATCACATATCACGTATATATCTAAAAATAAAATAATATATATATATATATATATGCACATAAGTGTGAGATAGCTAGTAAGTATACATGTCGTCCATATATGTAGCCATAGCCAACATCCACTTGAGAGCAAATTTAAATCGATTTCAAACTAGAAGCCAAGAATCCAAGGAAAAAAATAAAAAATAAAGCACATCTCTTTTGCCCCCCACCATCCCCAACACAAACATCTGGTTTTCATAGCATGAGAAAATGATATTTTTTTTTTAATAAAAAAGAGAGTTAGAAAAGAAAAAACCTTTGTTGTTTCCCTAGTACCCCACTCTCTCTATTGTGCATACCTAAAAAAGCACAAATTACCACCAAGTGGGTCTCTGCCAAAAACCTCCATAATCTTCTCCATCACACACACACACACAAAAAAGTTTTTTTTAGAAAAACATAAATAAATAAATGATTATTATAAAGCGTTCTTCCCACTACTCTCAATCATTTCAAAAGCCCCATTTAATCTCTCCATATTATCCCACAAACTCCCTCTCATCTTTCTTTTCATGTTTCCCCTTCCCAAAATAAATACCCTTCACCACCAGTACTAGTGACACAACTAGTTAGCTAATTCCAAAGCAAAGTGTCATCACAATTACACATACATAAAACATCACCACATTTTTACTTTGTGAGAGAGTTTGATCATCCTCATAATCATCATAAAAAAAAAATTTTAAAAAGAAAAAAAAAAAAATGTCTGTGGCAGGAATTTCTACAGCTGATCACACAGATAAACTACACAAGAAATCGTTCCACCGGAGGAACGACTCCGGCGAGCTCGACGTGTTTGAGGCTGCAAGGTACTTCTCTGGATATAATGAAGCTTTAGGCTACAATGGCTCATCATTTACTCAGAAGATGATCATGAAAGATCAGGATCATCATAGAGGCTGGAGAGGAGGAAGAATTAGCCTTGACATGCCAATGAGAAATGTTCTTAATAACCCTCATCATATTCATCATCATCATCATCATCAAACGGTGATGGATAAGCAGATCAAGGACAAGAAATACAAGCAGCCAAGCTCTCCAGGAGGGAGGCTAGCCAGTTTCTTGAACTCCCTCTTCAACCAATCCGCATCAAAGAAGAAGAAGTCAAAGTCAACAACTCAGTCAATGAAAGATGACCAAGAGGAAATCAGCCCTGGTGGTGGGAGAAGGAAGAGGAGGAGCAGCATAAGCCATTTTCGAAGCTCGAGTACTACCGATTCGAAGTCGATTTATTCGTCTTCTAGTTCGGGATTCCGAACACCACCTCCTTATATCAATGCCCAAACCCCCACAAAGAGCTACAAGGATCTCAGGAGCTTCTCTGATCACAAGCAAGTTGTGTCCTTGTCCTTGTCAAAGGCGCAAAACAATATTAACATGAAATCTTCAGCTGATAATAATTCTCTACACAATAGTGATCATCATGATCATCATCCTCAGAGACCAGACTTGTCTTGGTTGGATGATCATGTAGAGAAGATCAAGTACTGCAAGGATCAGAACAAGAATAATGGATCAGCGTCGGAGAAGTATCCATCAGAGAAGAAAGGATTAATGATCAGGAGATTTGATCATGAGGAATTTGAAGATGATGGTGCAGATAGTGATTCAAGCTCTGATCTGTTTGAGTTGCAGAACTATGATTTAGGTTGCTACTCAAGTGGGCTACCAGTGTATGAAACAACCAACATGGATAACATCAAGAGATCAGGACCACCAATCTCCAATGCTTAGCTCACTTTCATAATATATGTTTGTACTACTGTATATTTATATGTTTTTTGCATATATATTTTCACTAGCTAGCCAGATTAGCTGGTTGATTTGTTTAATTTCACATGATCTTATTGATGATATTAGAAGTTGTGAGGGTGAAGGAATATTTCCGTGATTTCAATTTTTTTTTTTTTTTTACATCTCTTCAGCTACTTTGTAAGTTCTTTTCGTGCTTCTCCTTCTTCTTCTTCTTCTTCTTCTTTTCTTTTCTTTTTTTTTTTTTTTTTTTGGTTTTTTTGGTTTTTTTGGTTTTGTGAATGTTTACAGTTTGGAATGTTTGTTTGTCTCTCTCTTTTTTTGCTTCTCTTTTGGAACTATATCATGGATTATTCAGTATGCTGGAACAACAGAAGTAGTCCACCATTTTTCTTCTTTTGTGGCCCTTGATTAGATTATTGCCAGATAAGCAAGATATATATTTTCCCCACTATATAGATAATTAATTAGTGTGTGTGTGTGTGTCTAGTGGAGAAGTTAATGAATCATAAGACCATGTGATGAGATGCCTATCTGTTAATGTTGACTTTAGGCAATGACCTAGCAATCATATTATGCGACATCAATTTAATGCTTTGTCGCTTCTCATTTGGTGTGAATCAAAATATGTATAATGTAATAGATGTTTTGAAGTTTTTGGGATATAAATCAGCCATCTCGCACACATAATAAATTTCCTGTCTCCTTGTCTTGGCTCATTAAGCTTACAAAAAAATTATGTTCAATCTATTGGATAGCTTAAATAATTTAATCACATAACGGATATTCAAGGCCAGATAAATATCCCCCAGTTTTATTTGACCATGTATACAAATATAAAGTTGGATAATATCTAAATAATAAATATATAGTACTTTTGTTTTCTTTCTGCCTGTTTTAATTCATGTACTAGCTAGCTAACTAAATTTATATAGTACGAGCAACACAAGACAATTTTTGACACAAGTGCTACATTTTATACCATTATAAATTTCTAACTTGTTGAAGTAAAAGAATATGGGACCTTGGGGGATACATATAATATAATAATATATATATATATAGACACGCGCACGTATGTATTTATATGGGGATGCAAATTTTGAAAGGTCAGACGGTGTGATTGATCATGGTACACTCTATCTCACGTGCAATGATGATAAGAAAAATAAAATCATCCGTGTGTAGCTCCCCCTTCTTTAAAAGCTAAAATAATTTCAATTAATTTGAAAAGATTACATATACTGAAAATGGATTTATCTGTCTAATCATAAGATCATCGTCAAAAAGCAAGTACTGCTCATAATTAATATTCTGTCTAATGCTATTTACCAATATCGTTCTTACTTCAAAACCACTCTAATATGAATATAACATAGGTCAGATGGCCCAGATCATGATCCAATATGATCAGTTTTTACTTGCCACAATCATTCACCCAAGGATCATCCAATTATTACTTTTTGAACTTTTCCATATATATATATATATATATATATGTACACACACATGTAATGATCTTTCCATGTTACATGTTATTTGTCCTTTCGTCTGGATAATGAAGTAAAGATTCATAAGGATCTAGCTCAAAGACCCAGAATAAGCCATAGAATTGGTTAGGATCGCTGCAGCGTTGTGTTGTATCAACAAGTTGGGTAAGAATTGTCGCTTTGGAGAAGGATATGAGTAGTCTCCATCTCAAGCAAAAACTTGGTTATGAGCAGACATTTAAGTTATGAGGGCAATAAATTGCCAAACTTTCTGTCTCTTTGCATGCACATTTGTTGGATTTAGAAGTCTTAAAAGTTGGAGTCATTAGCTTTATACATGCATACATATATATAGAATATATATATATATATATATAGTATAGCATAGCATAGCCTTTAAGAAAATGATCAATAGGAAATAATAATGATGTTGCACAAGTATTATGCATGGGGCAACTAATTAGAGAAAAAACAGAAGGCCATTATAAGGCATGCAGATTAATATATATATATATATATATATATTCATACATGTGTGTATGTGCGCGTGTATATATATGTATTATATTTATGGTATGTAATATAATGATGCATAGCACAAAAGAGGGGTCCAGAAGAAGCAATGAAACTAATTGAGAGAGTGAGTGGAGGGCCCAAACATATAATTCAAAGTAAGATGTTATGACGATGTTTGATGGCCACAAACACACACACTGACACGCTATATATATATATATATATATATATATATATATATATATACACACACACATATTTGTGCAATTGTGCACTATGAACTGGAGGGAAAGAAAAGAGAGAGGACGTGGGTAGGCTTTTTTTTTTCTTTTCTTTTTTACAATATGATCAATCAAATCCGTCTTTTCTTTTTCTAAAAGATAAGTAAATAAATAAATAAAACTTGCCAAAAGTGGAGACACAAGCCCCATTTACTATTGATCGACACACAGAATTTACTCATTACCCATATATTGATTTTCTTCAATTATATCGGTTGCACCTAATTGATTGATCACTAACTTTAGTTCACCTGTAAAATTACAACTTAAATCCTTATATAAATCCCTATTCATGATCAAAAAGTAACAATTACGCTTATCACTCACAAATTATGGTGCCTCAAGAAAAGAAGCTAATCAGTGTACTGATTAGTGCTGGAACTTTGGACGGACTATCCGCGACTATCGGAAAATATTGAGTTTTTGTCCGATGCCCGACCTAACCTACCTGAAATTTTTGGGCCGCCCACCCGAGCCCGAGAAGGCATGTATTTGGCTGCCCGAGCCCGCTCGAAATGCCCGAAATTTTTTTATATTTTTTAATTTTTATAATTATTAAGTTATTTTGTGTTAAAATTATATAAAAACTAAAATCAACATTAAACACGCATTATTAACACAATTTAATAAATTAATTTTGTATATTAATTTTTAAATTCGTAATTCATAATTGCCTCGTTAAAAATCTTACCAAAAAAACTCAATTGGGATAAAAACTTGGTAAGAAAAAAAGAGTGCAATCATTTTGTAACGAATTATAAATTTTACAAACTTACAAAGTTATACAATTACAATGTCAAAAGTAAATACATATTTACAAATTATAAATTTACAATTTAATTTGAAGTTGAAAGATCGTCTTCAAAATTACATGTTAATCTATTAAATTCATTGATTCATTCTTGACTTGCCGGCGAAATTGTATCCTGTAGACGTTGATCGACACGATCCCAATCCTTAATGCAGACCAAGGCTTCAACAATGTCCATTTGCAATGTGTTTCGGCGTTCCTCAAGTATTCGTCATGTCGTACTAAAGGCTTGTTCGGATGAAACAATGGAGACTGTGATCGAAAATATATCCATTGCCAATCGAGTTAGGATTGGCCAAGTTAATGCTTGTGCCCTCCACCATTGAACTAAGTCAAACGATTCTCTAGTACTGTCGACTACTAAGCTCTCACTGAGGTATGCAATAAGCTCGTTGAAGTTGCCGCCGCCGCTGCCACCTGTTGATGAAGATCCACTCCCAACTTCTGCTTGAGTTGTCTTCTTCTTCTTCTTCAACCCGAAAATATTCAAGAATGAATGCGAGTTTTCATCTTGTTGTTGCGGTTCCTGTACTCTAGAATTTGTGCTTCTAAACCTATTATCATATTTACTATAGATCGAATATATTTTTTCCTTTATTGTTGGAAATTGGTCCGAAAAATTGATGCCTAAAAATTCACCTAAGTTTTCTAAACTACTTTCTAAACCGTCTAATTTTAATCTATGATCAAAAATAGTACCTAAACCATACAACAAAGGCAACTTAAACTAATATTTTTTAAATTTCTTTTCCATAGAATGGATAGGAACTCCTAAGATTGGGTCATCCCTATATTCACTAAATAAAATATTAATTCTTAAAAGTTCACCTAAAGCTAAATGTGATGTTGGGTAATATGTTCCACTAAGTTTTAAAGTAACTTCATGAAACCTACCTAAAAATTGATAAAAACTTCGGCAATTTGCCAATCATATGCGTTTATATGTCTTACTTCTAATTTTGCACACATATAGTTTGTTATAGCATCCTTATAGGGGTTGCATTGTTGAAGTATTATATAAGTTGAGTTCCATCTTACAAGCATATCTAACGCTAATGCTCTAGAAGGTATATTTAATGCTTGTAAGAATCTAAACCAATCTTCTTGTCTTTGGTTACTACCTTGAATCCATGCAAGACTATCTCTAATTCTTTTAATGTGAGTACCCATTTCTTTTAAACCGGATTTAACTATTAAATTAATTACGTGACACCGTCACCAAATAAACTTAAATCATTTTCAAAGTACTCAATTACTTTTGTATTGGCACTAGCATTATCTAATGTTATAGCCATTACTTTATCTCTTAATCTAAATTCATCACTTACATTTAAAATTGTATTATATATTAAATTCGTGTTATGTGATCCTAAAACACATTTAAAACTTAATATTCTCTTATCTAAATCAAATCCTTTAAAGTAATGTCTGGTTACAGCTAAATAATCTTTATTGGCAACGGCAGACCAAATATATGCTGTTAACGCAACGCACCCGCTAGTCGAGTGTAAAAGGTTTATCAATGCTTCTTTTTCTTTTTCAAATAATTTTAATAAATCTTTCCTAAGAGTAGTTTTTGAAGCGAACTATGCATTAGGATTATGTACAATTTTAATATATCGTTGTCAATTAGGATACTCTACAAAACTAAGTGGTTGATCTAATGCAGCTATCATTCGTGCAACTTCCATACGATCTACTTGCGGGTCGTATTTCTAAGTGGTTAGACCACCGGTTGAGCGATCAAAAGATAATTGTATTTGACGGAGTTTGGGTGCGCCGGACTGGCTAAGCTTTTAAAGACACTTTTTGGAGTGTCTTCTCAAGTGTGTGGTGTCGTGAATAGTATCACCTTGTAATTTAGATAAACAATATTTACACTGA